ATTTTTTATTTTACCATTAAGAAAATTATGGCGAGTCGATGAAACTTTTTCTTTATTTTTCACCGAAATTTTGCGAGAAAAATCGTCAAAAAAAAAAAAAAAACACTAATCAAGTAATCGCAAAAATCCATTGCTACTCTTCAGATAATGTATCTAAAAGTAGCGTGTACAAATTTCGGAGCAATCGGACCGATAGTTTACGAGATTTACGTTGTGTACCATTTCGAAAAATGTAGTTTCGAGATAATCCCAGAAGAAAGTAAACGTGCGGTCCGATTGCTCTGAAATTTGTCCACGTTACTTTTAGATACATTATCTGAGGAATAGCGATGGATTTTTGCGATTACTTGATTAATGTTTCACTTAATTTTTCTTTCAAGAATAGTACCCATCTGGCGATCGCACAGGGTGGCCAGAAGCCTTGAACTATTATTAAGCGTAACGACAGTCCGAACGTATCCAAAGAACAGGCTGGATCCAAGCGTAATTTCCACCTGCACCGATCCTGTTCGAACGCGTACACGACGCTCTTTCCGATAGCAAAGCCGTTGCTTGCCGCTCGAAGCCATTCAACTCCTTGGTAATATGAACGACCGTTTAGGCGCGAGTTTTCTTAATCGAGTTCCAACGGAACGCTGAGATTCCATTAGGGACTCGTAAGGGTTCCATGAAAATTGCCACGTTGGGCACAGCCTCGCCATGCAATTTACGACGAGCCGTAACACGCTAGGAGCCGGAGAAACTTTTGTTCTTCGATTCCACGATTCGTAAAATTGTATTTTTAAAGAGAAGTTTGACGAATAACCAGCCTCGACACAGGAGACAAATCACGCCGTTTTCGTGTAACAAGAATGGATCGAACGAATTCGTTTCATTCGTCACAGATTTAACATTTGTTAAGGGGATATCCTGAATTAGTAGATTTATAAAAAAGCGATTTTTCGTGAATCTTTTTAGGATGGAAAAAAATAATTAATTCTATCGAACTATTTATCCTATTTTCTGCATTTTATCAGACTTGAGTAGTCTGTACAAATTTTTTCAACAAGAAATATTCAAATTGAGTCGACTGCGGGGTAAAACAAGAGTTCGAGTCAATCGTTATCTGGAAAGTCGAACGAATTCGTTTAATGGAAAAACGCCGCCGTTTCCTTTATTTTTCTCACCGTGGCGAATATACCACGGCGTGGAATCACGGGAGACGCTGTTATCGCGTTACGAGTTAACGATCAGTAATAATGCCAGGGTGTATAAAGCTGTGATGAATCGCGACTTTAGAGAGTGAATCGTAAAACGAGAAATAAATTAACAAGAACACTTTCGATGGCGCAGAAACTCGTTTCCTACGATTCTAGGGGACACTCTCACGTTGAAATCATCGGGACGATGACGTCTCATTGGAGTAGGAGGACTGGTGTGTTATAACGTCTGAAGTGGTTTCCACCCTGCTGACGCGCGAAAGGAAACTGTGCAAATGGCGACAGGAGGAAATTCCTCCCTGGAATTCTCTCCGATCGCTAGACTGCGGTTTTTATCCACTATATCGCGCGTATTAATATGGAGAACGCACAAAAAATATACGTAATGCGCGAAGAATATATATACAGGGTGTCCCAAAAGTCGGGGAGGAGCCGGAAATGGGAGGTAGCTGAGACGATTCCGAACAACAATTTCCTTTGCAAAAATGTCTGATGGGGCTTCGTTGAGGAGATATTAAGAGAAAAGACTGACCAATCAGAGCGCGAGGATGCCGATACAGCGCTCGCGGTAGCCAATGAGCGCGGCCGCCTAGCGCGTAGCTTTCGCTACCGCAGCCGCTCGAACGGTCTACGCGCGCTCTGATTGGTCGGGGTTTTCTCTTAATATCTCCTCAACGAAGCTCCATCAGACATTTTTGCAAAGGAAATTGTTGTTCGGAATCGTCTCAGCTACCTCCCATTTCCGGCTCCTCCTCGACTTTTGGGACACCCTGTACATTCTTATTTAATTCTAGCTTCTATTACTTATTATCTATATCTTGTTCCTCCCTGGAATTCTCTCCGATCGTGAACGTGTTAAAAAGACAAATGTATACTCTCGTAAGTTCACCCTGTATAACCGGTGATAAAGCTCGCTAAACTTGCGACGTCACCTCCCGCGATGGGTTAAATGTTTGTCGAATACGATTATCGCACGGATGACCGAGCGAACGGATGCCACGGATAAACCGAATCGCTAAGAGAACTCAAACGTCGTGGAATCTCCAGGAGGCATCGGGTTGGAAAGAATCGTCTCGATGGCACACGTGTCCCGGCTGGGCACACGTGACAACGACACACGAGTATCCACGAGGATGCAACGATGCGGAGAGCATTGGGGGGGAGGAGGAAAAAAAAAGGAAAAAAAAAAAAAGAGAACGGGTGGTTGTGACGCGTGAAGGATGCGAAGCAGGATGCTTCGAGCGCGTAATTGCGCTGGACGTAGCCAGTTGCGTGGACAATTAATCGCGAAAGGCTCGCAGTTTAACTTATTCTCTTTACATTTCACCGTGGGGTTCGTTAGGCAACGAAATCGGCGGGGTTAAACCTTTGGGTAATCTGCTTTGACTTTTAAACAGCCCTCGGCGATCGCCGACGTATGTAAGCATTTCGTTAAACGTGGACCAGGGATCGGTAAGGTGCTCGTTTCCTTCCGCGCTGCCATTTTCGAGCGAAATCATCTACGAAACGAGTCGCGCATCCGAAGGACTATTTCCAATAGTCTGGAAACAAAACTTAATTACGGTAGAAATTTTCAAGAGTACTAGTCTGGCGGTGGACGTGTTATCTATTCTCGCAACTGGATCCTTGAACCAGTCGATTAATACGAATTAAATACAAAAAAAAAATATACAGTCAGTGTAATAAGTATTCGTACAGCAACCAATTTAAAATAAATGGTTTCAGTACGAATACTTGTTACACTGACTGTACGTGTCGAATTGAGTAACCTTCTCCTTTTCGAAGTCGGTTAAAAATGTTTCTGAACTGTTCTCCTTTCGTTTAACGAATCGACCGATTTTCGTAAATCTTCATGTACAAAGAAATTAATTCATAAACCGAGACTAATCGTACGAAAAGAATGATCGTTACGGTATCGCGATTTCTCCGATTGAATTTCAACGCAGACTCACGATTTCTAGTATTCTGACAAAAAAAAAAAAAAAAAAAAACGTTCCGATAATCGTTCGTTAAAGTTATAGCACGTATTTTTTCGTGTCGGTGTCATCCTACCCACTCTACCGTTCCGTTCTCATGTGATAACGTTGGCACAGCACGAGATCGATTAAACCGTATACTGTACACGCACAAACACCTATATGTGCACACCTACGTACGCATCGGGACACACACGTCATCGCGAAACATGCGAAAGAATCGAAATCTTTTCTTGTTAATTGTCCTAAGAGCGCGAACGCGAACGAATAACGCGAAAGATTTGCAAAGACAACGCCCTGTTTCCATAGAGTGGAGAGGTTAATAAACTTTAGCCACCCTAAGCGATCTAGTCTTTAGTCGGTGACTATATCTTTCTTCGTCCTTGATCTCGTAACCTGTATACATGCTAATACCTACCAAAAAGGGAATATGTTTCGCTAATCTTATACGCCACCTTTTTTCCGCGGTTAATTCAAATCGATTAGTCGGTCGAGGGAAGAAAGTCCACACGAGTAGTTTTTAATTTTCTTAATTAACGTCTACGATATTCCTTTAGTTATCTCTACTATCTTCTCGTCTTTTATTTTTACAAAAATTCTGCACGTCTTAACAATCGACACCCCAACTCGGAGCTTGCAAGAACTAACCATAACCTAAAAATAGCAATTAAAGATTCGGAACAACGAAAGAAAAGAAATTGGATATCAGCTTCGATCCCTAACGCGAGAACCATTACCCAGTTAGATCGTTAAAAGCGTTAAACAACGGGCGAGTAACGCTAAAGAAATGGATAGCGGTTGCGACCGTTAGATCGTATCTGAACTAACGATCAAAATTGCTGAGTAGAATAATTAATATGCTATTGGGTAACCTTCACAGAGTCTAACAAGAAACGTAACTGTCGAGCGAGCTTCGCGCTCGAGAGTCGGGCGTTTAAAATGAAAAAGAGAGAAACGCGATACGCAGCGGTCTAATTTCCTCTTTCAATTAGACTTACATTAATTCCGCGTCAACCAGACGGAAATTTTGTGCGTAAAACATTTTCGGCGTGTCGTTGATTTGTACATAACGATTGACTCGAATTCTTATTTCACCCCACCCTGTACAAGGCAGAACGATCAAACGACACGGCATTAACACCGTGGACGTCTCTTTCGGACGCACTTCGGTCAGCGATACAATTTTGGTAAAACCTAACGGTAAAATAAAAATGAATTTTGTTCGAGTCGTCGCGCGAATGAGATACAGTAATATCGGTGAGAAATTATTTTCTAATTTAACAAGTGCTAAATCTGTAGAAACGTAAACTATCAAAAGAATCCATTCGATCGTAGAGTAATATTTGGATACGGAATTATAATACGGCGAATGGTGTAAACGCGTCAGGATGTCGGCGATTAGAAACTGCCTCGAACTATCGAAAACTCGGTGCACAGCCGATCGTTTACGAGCGACGAATAATTGCGAATCGATGAACCAACGACAGACTCGAAACGAGGATTAAATTGTCTGCGAGCGGGCCCCCTAATGACAAGGAAGTCGAACCGTTGTTCCGCCTTGCTTTCACGAAAATATTCTTGACAAATAACGCGTTCTAACCTTCGCGACGATGCTTTTTTGGCATCCGCGCGAAAGGATTCGGGAAACGAGTTGGGATAATTTTGCAAGGATACGCGCCAAATCTTTTCTAGGTCATTCTACAGGGACAGGACATGCACGGTTCCACAGCTGATTTTATTCGTCGCGGCGAGAAAAATTCACGGTACGTGACACGGGACGTGATACGAAACAGAAGACGTTCGCGAAATTTTGAAAGAAACGTACGTGTACTTACCGCGGTCGGGTCACTGATAATTTACCGCGGAATTGCACGCGAACTTGTCACGAAGTAATCACAGCACTGACACCACGCCAAAACAGCCCCTGCGAACGACTGATTTTTATCGAACTGGCCGCGGCGAAATGCAGCTCGCGCTCCAACATTGCCATCTTTCAGTGGCTCCCGTAACTATTCCACGTCCATTGAACACCAACCTCGAGACCCCTAATTTTATCGGCGCATGCGCGGTAGTTTTCCTATCCGACCAATTACCTTCAACAAATGAACGTAACACGATTATAAAAGGTATACGCGGTATAAAAGCATGTATTCGAAGCACAACGACGAAAAAGATCGTACACGATCTAACAAAATCACGTTTCTAGTTACATTTCTCAACGTTGTCTAGGATAGGCAATTTATTCGATGGAATATTTCCAGCTCTTTTTCGTATATACAGAGTGTCTCAAAAATGTTGTAACACCTTGAAAGGGGGGGGTGATTTGAAACAACTTTTTCCTTAGCGAAAATGTTGTCCGAGGCTTCGTTGAGGAGATATTAACGGAAAACACTGACCAATCAGAGCGCGAGTTTGCCGGTGGAGCGGCCGCGGTAGCGTACGAGAGCGGCCACCTAGCGCTACCGCGGCCGCATTGTATACAGTTATATAAATAATATAAACAATATTGTTTATAAACAATAAGTTAATAAATTACAATTTTACACAGTTTTTTTGGAAATTGATCGGTGTACGAATACTTACTACACCCACTGTAAGTAGAGATTCATTTAGTAATCCCCTAAATGTGTTGCGGACAATTTTAAAACGTGATCGTAGAAGGAGCAGGTACCAATCAAAGAAACGTTTCCTGCTTCCATTTTGGGTATTCGTTTTACAATTTCTGCGCTGTTTAAAAAGGACCAATCGCATCCGTACGCTATACTTTCGTGCTCGTTGTATTCGCTAACGACAGACGGTGCATCTGTTCTCTCGCAGTTGATTATTCGAAATCCGCCATACATGCAAGCGGCGAGTAAATAGTTTCGCTTGAATGGATCCCATTTCAAACGCCACACACCACCGCCAAGATCGGTTTCCGAAACGGGTCGTTTTATGTTTCTTGTATCCCATAATCTCAACGTTTCGTCGTAACTGAAAAATTGTAAATATTTACTAGGTCGTTACGCGTGTTACATATATTCTACTTCTGATACGCCACCTTCCAGACGATAATAAAAACTCTTTTGTCGCATTACTATGAATGCTCGTAACACCGGCGCCATGAATTTTGCTTAACGCGGTGGATTCACTTCCTACTCTCGTATCGAAACGTTGGAATTTACAGTCGTCGCCGCCTTGAATGCAACATAAAAATATTCGACATTATTTTCAGCAACAGATTCGAGACAATTTACATTCGTACCCGTGTATATGACGTTCGTATCCCAGTAATCGAAAGCTGCGATCCAAGCTTCGAATGCGTGCGCGGGCCATGAATTAATTTCGTTAAGTTCGTTTTCATTTATTTCGAATAACGATATAAAACCTTTCGAATCGCTAACTACAATTTTTGGATTCGATTCGTTGTTATTCATCCATCTTCCGGAACACCAGTCTAATGATAAGATGAGAACTTCGTCGTCGCTATGGGAAATTTTCTTCTCCGTTAATAATTCCAAAGTTTCCTTCTCTTCGTTGATTTTTAATTGATAAACTTGCAAGTAGCCTATAGAATTCACAACGCCAAGTAAAATTTTATTTTGATACGTAACGTGTGCCCATTTCGTGTCTAACACAGCAGGGACTTCTAGCTTTTGTAACAGTACCAGAAGTCCATTGTCTACGACTCGAAACATATACATTCGTCCTAAGCGTTTTAATGATTCCGATTTATCCGATGTTGTTTCACTGTCTTTTGTTAATTGATACGTTCCGCATACAAATATATCTCTGAAGGGATTTGCTGGGCACCATTCGACAGAGTCGGCAGAAAATTCGGTATCGAAGCTATCCAAAGTGTGGAACATGATTGATTTATCGATCTGTAACATATAACCCTTTGGTTGATAAATATACATTTTTCGTGTTAAAACAAGTATTACATTTATATACATTATAAAATACAAAGGTGCCACCCATTCCGTAAAAAGTACATATTATAGGATTTACACGAGAGTATCTTTATTTGTACTATAAATATTACAATTAATGAAAATTATATAAAATATTACACATACAGAATTGTTTATTCGAAAATGGATACATGCAATTATATATTACTTTCAACTATATTCGTTACTAACATTATTAAAATACAAAAACAGAATTTGTTTTAAAACATTTGGTACGAAGTTTACTTTTGTAAGAGATTAAAAAATGTTAATAAATAGCATATGAAAATTGTATAGTCTTGTATATAATATACACGTTGGTTAAAACTATATTGTTGTCATTGAGATCATATCATTAGGGACGATACATAGTCGCTGGTTAACTTCTTAAAAGTAATAATACACTTCTGAGCAAATTTAAGTATCATAGGAACTTTGTTTCTTCATTTTCATCATCCAAATATTTTTATAATAAATAAGTAAGCCGCATTACGCTTACACACCTCGTAATATTACAAATATTAATATGGTGTTAGTTCTCTATTATTTAGATTTTTTATTAAATATTTCTTTCTATGATATTTGGGAAGTATATTTGTACTATCGATAATCCACGTAAGGATAGTTTACTCTGCATTAATAGATATTAAACGCATTGTACTAATAAAGAATTTGTATATGTTTGTACTCGCGGTTAAGTCCGATGGAATGCGTCATCCGAGACATTTCATATTTATCGTTCGCATAAAATCAATCGTACCTCGCAGTTCGAATAAATTATTACATTTAGCGGCTATTACAATTATACTCTTTGGCAGTAAAAACCTAATAAATAACTTCTCATGATTTAAATAAATATACGATGACATTTGCATTTTTAATAAGTTTATAAAAATACAAAGAGGCGCGTAAACACCTTCTTTATGAATTGTACTAGATTTTCAATTAACGACCGTTAACCTATAGTCCAAATCTGAGGTAGACAAATTGGCATTCTGGTTCTTGCATATAGCGTGTACATACAAATACTTTGTTTGGACAATAGTATGTTATAAGTCTTTGTGCTTTCCATTATTGTTATCTATAGCTAAGTACTTTTTGAATACTTGGTCAGTTGAAAATTAACGATATGTATAAAACTATTAAAAATAAGCGTTTCATTGACGAGCACTTTTCTCAGTCTCGACTAGACATTCTCTAACTAAAATACGCGCGTGTACGATACCGCGTTTAATTTTTTCAGCAGAAGTACGACTGCCGGCATAGGTAGGTCGTACCTCGTGACCAAGTTCTTCTATGACATTAAGTAGTTGTATATATTTTGATTGGCCAGGTACAGAAGGAATCGTTTGCTGTAGCGCTCTTGGATTTGGTACACTCAGTAATGGCTCTGCAATCTTTGTTGAGACTTCAATGTTTCCTCGTTCTTCTTCCATCTTCTAACTTTTTCTTAAATAAATAACCTAACAAATAATTTACGAAGGAGATCTAAATTATAAAGAACCAAATACCATGAAGCATCTCTTATGATACATCGGTTTCATTGTATAAAATTTTATATTTTAATCTAAAACACTGACAAAATTGATGTAGAGAAAACGATAACCTTTAAGTCTTGTGTGTTTCATGTATTTTTGCATAACGTTTGTTAAACAAAATTAGGGAACTCCCAAATATAACCTCAAATCAAACATGTAATTTTATTTCATGTATCGTAGAACTTACCTTCAACGATATATTAATGAAACGCAGATGTATATCTCACAGAATAAATAAATAAGTTTAAATGAAAATGAAGTATAATGTTATAATTTAATTCGTGAAATACATGAAATGATCGACTTCTCCATGTCACCGCTTGCAAGCCAATATGCAGTGATGTTACATAGATGTACAGTTTATGGTGTCGGTAATTTAAACAGCACGTGGTGGGAGAAAGTACCGAACTGTAATACTCAATACTTTCGCGCTACTTTTAAATTGATAAATACGCGAGTAATTAATTAAGGGCATGAAATCAATACACATTACTGTAGAAAATTGTTGTTTTTTCTTTATTCAGATATACCTTATAGTCAGTTATATTCAAGGATTATACTTTCCATAGGTATGTTTTGTTTGATCAATTTTTTTCTGTCTGTATACTGTAGGTAATCGCTAGGTACCCATAGTTTCAACCAAAAATGCGATACATTTTCCTTAGAAAATATATAAACGAAGACTCTTCAGTGTACAAATTGTTTCTGCTTAATATTATTTTATTATTTACTAAATTAGACCTTAATACGAAGAAATGATTCCTTCGTGATTTGCATCTATGCATAGAAAATGGTGGTCTTTAAGTTCTTCCTAATAAAAAGAAACAAAACCAAACGGAAAGAAAATGTCTATTCTTTAATTTATACCCAATATTATGCGTTACGAATCGATTAATTTCTTTTAGGCATCCACAAAAGTGTACATTCTTCCTAAAAATCAGTTCGATTATTATTGAAAGTGATAGTAGGTTACGCAATTATTATTTTCTCAACCTTTTACACTTTTCTTTATTAACAACTGATAAAATCGTATAAAATATGAAATAGTAAGTATTAGATATTTATGCACAATTTTGCGGATGCTAAGACACTCCCTTTAAAATATACTGCTGTACTCCATACAATGTACATAGCATTATCTAAAATAATCTGCTAAAAATCTATTCGCTAAGTGTATTGGCAGATCATTGCCGTGCATTATGTTCCGTTTCCAGTAAGCATTCTCGTACGAGGATTCTCGCGTGCTGGATGCCCATCTTCAGACGCTCGGCTGCGCTACGACTTCCAGCATACGAAAGGCGAATGTCTCTTCCAAGTTCTTCGATAATAACCAGTAGTTGAGCATATTTACCCTGACCGGGTACAGTAGGGAAGTTTATCGTACTGGATGGGCTAGCCTGGGCTACTTGAACGGTTTGAACATTTTGCAAATTTCTTGGATTTGGCACGGTGATCACAGGTTCAGGGATTCGAGGAATTTCCGGTACCTTTGGTGGCGGGGGATCGTTTAATTTTGTTATCGTTATTTCATTTAGTTTAGCCAACTCTGTCAGCTTTGCCATTTCTGCCATTTTGGAATATTCAGGCATCTTCGTGATATCGTTCTGTATATTTGCCATTTTAATCATTTCATTCATTTTTGTTTTTTCGTTCATTTTTGCAATTTCTTTAGCCATTTCATTAATTTGTGCAATTTCATTTAATTTTGTTATGTCGTTATTATATTTAGCCATTTCCGTCATCTTCACCATCTCGTTTAGTTTAGCTATTTCGTTCATTCTTTGAACTTCGTTAATCTTTGCCATTTGGGACATCTTCATCATTTCGTTCATTTTGGCGATCTCGTTAATTTTTGTTATATCGTTATATTTAGCCATCTCGGAAAGTTTCACCATTTCGTTCATTTTGGCAATTTCAGACATTTTAGCAATTTCCTGCATCTTCATGTATTCCGTTGTTTTGGCGTACTCTGCCATTTTCTCCATTTCGTATCTTTTAGCCATATCCTGAGACATTTTGTTTAGTTCGGTCATTTTGCTGAACTCGGCGAGTTGAGCCATTTGAACTATATGTTCCGGTACTTTTCCCCTTTCCATCATTTGCTTTAATTCTGCAGAAATTTTATTCATATTCATTTCTGACATTTGAGCTATCGTTGCCGCATCTGGCATTTTTGAAAGTTCTGCAATTTTTGAAATTTCTCTGGCTAAGTTTTCATCCAAACAACGCTTCTTTTTAGCACGATGCCTAGCCATACGCTGAGCTTCCTGCATTCTTCTTATCGCTGCCTGCTCCTCTGTCTCTTTCGCTCTGGCGTTTTTCATTCTCTCTGCTGCGGTGTACAATCTAACAGTGCGTTCCTCTATCGTTTCCGATCTTAATTTTTCTCGTCTATATTCTCGCATTTCCCTTACCTTTTTAAGGTAAGACTTTTTCTTAGCCTTAGGCATAACATGCACTTGTGCACGGTATAAGTACAATTACCTATATAGTCTGTCATTTTTGTTAGTTTTCGATATCAAACTTCTCACAAAATATATTCTATGCATACATTTTTGGCTAAATATAGCCAATACTGTTCCACCTTTCTTGATATTGACAAATCGTTCATTCGAATACCCTTTGTATACAAAATAATTCTTACGTTACATTTGATTATTACCAATTACCTGTAACACAAAACGATACAAATAATTAAAATTTGTTAGAAATGTATTGAAAGATATTAAATTTAAAAGAAATGACAGAGATAAATTTACATGTTTCAAAGCGTGATAAGGACCAATAATATTTCTAACTGTCATTCGACTATCGTCAAATAAAAATTAATATCAACTCGGATTATTGATAGAGATAACTTAAGAATTTATTTGGACTTGGAGAAAAAAAAGGCATAAATCCGGCGTTTTCCTTTGAGAAATGCCGTTAACCACTTTCTTTGATGCAGCGAGTGGGGAGAAAAAATACGTGAAAATTAATTCGTATCTCTGACGTCTGAAAAGACGCGGGTAATGAACTACAAAAAAAATTCCATAGCACGTGCGCAAAAATCGAGCGGCGAATACTGTTTTCGAAATACGTATATGTGTAGGTGCGTGTGCGTATCGTGTACCTGTGTCGCGTTGCTCTTATGTATGCGTGTTCTCCCAAAATTCGAAAGAAGAGCGTCGTGAAGTAGGACGCAACGCGCATGCGCGCCAATCTAAGAACGCCGTCTTCTCTGGAACGTTCACCAATCACAACAATGGCGGACGCAATTCGGTCAGTTCGGTAACGCACGATTAACTAACCGCTAAGATAAACCGCGTCGTGGATCGACGTTATCTTACATCCGAATATTCCTCGCGATGGAACGCGTCCACCAATGCCGTTCGTTCGATAATTGATCCGATATTTCTCAAGATATTCCGGAGACAAACGCACAAAAGCAATATCGGCCGACATGTAAGATTTTCGTTCGGAGCCACTTTAAGGGGCCAAGCGGGGTCGCCGATAGGCTGCGTGTGACGTGGTTGCGTTTATTGACCATAACCCCTTCCTACTCCCGTCTGCAACTTCACGACGGACAGGTGTACGACCTGAGAGACCGCGAAACAATTGACCGACGCCGACTGCTTCTTAAAATACATGACGACATTGCCGAAAACCCGTCGACACTTACGAAACGTTCAGCCCCGTCTTATCGTCTCCGCCTAACGGAGATCTCTCGCTTCTCTTCCTTCGATAAGATGCTTCTCGTTCCCTGGAAATATTCGATTCACGGTAAATTTTTCTTCGATGTCAGGAAAGAATGTTGAGCTCCTTCGAGGAATGAACAAATTTTGACGGGTTTCTTCGGTTCTTTCAGACGAGAAGGTGAGACTCACTGTACGGTGAAACTCGTCAAGAGGATTCGTATTTCCGACGAATTTCCAAGTTGTGAAAACATTTTCCTGCGACAAGAAATAATCTGTGACGATTAATAACGATAGTAACGATAATGATTATTTTAAAAGACAATTCGTGTTCAAGTAACGCACTGTTTTTCTATTCAAACATTTCAGACTTACCCATATGCCGTTAGGTAAATTAAAGAAATAACGTGTGTATTATTTGCAAAGTGAGTGTTTTATTAAAATTTTTCTAGAGATATATTTACCATTTCTTTTATTTAAAGTATTTGTCGGTTACGTATTTTTGTATGGAGTATTACTGTTATTATATTCATAAATTTGTTTTACTATTTGTGTTTGCGTATCTTCTGATAGTGCTCTATACTATCAATTCGTACAAGTGAAATTAATAAATGTATTCTTTGCAATTGTTATATCTTTTTATACCAAAGCTGATGTTTTGATATAATTCATATTTTTTCTATGTAGAATTAGTATTAAAAATTTGACATAGTTTCATAGCTATCATGAAAATAAGTTACCTATTTAGTAAAAATTATATATATATATATATATTTGTTGACAAGCTACTAACGTTGCAAATTAATTTCTGTCTCTGATAAGCACTCTTTGATCAACATTCTTGCTCGCAGAATGCCTACTTTCAACCTTTCAGCTGAAGTTTTACTACCAGCGTATGCTAATCTAACATCTTTTCCTAGTTCCTCGATGATTGCTGATAACTGAGAATAATTATCTTGCCCGTAAGATGTATGCACAACAATTGATGCTCTCTGCATAGGCAAGCATGGTTGAAATTGTTCTGTATTCGATACTCTAACAATGGAATTAGTGGTTTCAAATGTAATATTTCTTCTTTGTAATTTTGCAATTACAGAAAGTTTATTGAAACTTAAAGTTTCGAGCACCTTTTCCTCCTCTAAGGCCTTTTTCTTTTTGGCTCTAAATCTTGCCATTCTCTGTGCATCATGAAATCTTCGAATTACAGCTTCTTCTTCTGTTTCATGTGATTTTGTTAGAAGTCTACGTGCACTTTTCTTTTTTTCTCCAATTAAATCGGATTTGTTTGTTTTCAATGTATTCTTGCTTTTGTTCCGCTTGAAACTATTCATTTTTTCAATTCGGATAGTTCTTTTTGATTATTGTTTATTTTTATCAAAATGGCATAATAATGCACTGTTCGAATGATTATTCGAATTAGCCTCCTGTTTTTTTTTTCTTTTTATCGATTTACGCGCATGCGTGAAGTGCAAATGATTCAGAAGCCAATGGCAAGAATGGTGGATAGTTTCAGACAGAGCCGATAAACTTTTGAATCACATGCATTTGGACGGAAAATATTTGACACTGATTCTTAGTGTTGCATTTCCATTTATTTCCGACAAAATTTTCTATTCTTTCGTCAAGCTTAAATACTTGCGATTATCGCAAACACAAACAAGAAAAATAAGGTCGTCACACTCACACGTAAGACATCGTTGTGTACTCTTTTAGTCCTACGAAAAAATTCTAAGGTCTCGATTTATCGGAGATTGCAAAGAGATATGTAACTGTCTTCTTCTTGGTATGTATTATTGTTTCAAGGTGATTCACTCCTAAAATAGCAATCTACAATTAATTGCTAGCGTTTATTATATATAAGGTCGTTATAGATATCTACATTATTTTCATGTAAATAATGCGTTCTGGGAAGGTTCCTTTGTAACGTCATTCGTTAATCTTTGGAACCGTAATTAATCATCTTATATTTCAATGATAAAACAAAAATTAATGCTTTATATAAATAAATGTTAGATCCATGCAAGGTATAGTTGCTAGTTTAGATGTTTAATTTGTTCATAAATACGTAGGTAAAAAAAATGAGAAGCAAGTATAGAGTACACTTTCATAGAAGTATCAGTTTTGTTTCATATTATTCCATTTATTTTCTGTACATTATTCTCTAATCTAAAATATTTTTTTTCTTGTTCCAGATTGTACACAAAGGTTTTGCATATTGTATCACATAAATTATTGGACATGCTTACGATCCTGGATACTGTCTCTGGAAATTAAGTAAATTAATATGTATATTTCATCGTATGAGTATTATTTCCTCCTATTGCTAGTAATTCTTCCAGTATACCTTTTTTTTAAATTATGGTCGTGGCTGGGCTGGCAATTGTTTGTAAATAATTAATATTATGTACATTTTGTAGTCGATTAATTTTACTAATGTTTCTTGTTATTTTTAAATTATCCAAGTTTCCTTTTTGTGAAATTTTAGCCTCGTGCAGCTTAATAACCTCTCTTGAGTTTATAAATACAAAAGCGTAATATATGTATATATGTATCGTTGAAAATCTTTTTAATCAATTTTTATCAAAGTTCTCTAGATCTATTAAGAAACTTAAAATTAAATTTTGTTACTAATTAAAAGTTCATCTAATCCCATTCTTCCCCTGTGTTTCCATATCCTAAACCTGGCAACATCTTTCCGTGTAATCATTCCAATAACCTAAAAAAAATTTTTCAATACAATATTTTATACGATCTTATGAAATGCATCGATTATCGGTACCTCGTTCGCGTCATTTATTACTGGTAAATGACGAAGGCCTAAAGCCCTGAAAAGTCTAAATGCTCGTGGCAGTGCTGCAGACTGAAAAAAAAAGTTTCGTACAAGCATTACAATTTTTTATCTTTGTAAGCGAAATAGTTGTAAATAACTAACATGCTGTAACGTATACGCTGAAGGATTCATGAAAGGTCTCAAATCTATCGTATAAGTTTTCTCCGTTTCTGTTACGGTGACTTGTTCGATTGTTGGGTATCTAGGATATTCTTTTCTGAACATTTTAATACTCAAGTTTCTTCCCCAATAGTCTTCGTGTTCGTTAAAAATTTTATTTTGCAGTAGGACTATTAATTGGGAACGTAAGATTAAGCCCCGAAATCGTCCATAGGAATGAATTTCAGTCTAGAATATAAAATTTAAAAATAAACGACATTTTTTGTTCATATAAAATAAAACATAAATGCAAAATTGATTACCTGGTCGCTACTAGGGGGATCAACTATTGGAAACCCATTAAATGTTACGCATTTAAGAAGCTCAACTATATGTCCTACATTTTCTACAGTTTTTAATGTTACCACAGGGTGACTCATTATTTCACTGGCGTATATGTTGTTCGACAGCGGTGGAGCTTCCCATGGTAATATTGGAATTCCAGCCATTTGTATATGAATATCATAAATTCCCTAAAGTAATACCATTTGAATCGCTTGTAAAGACTTGTATAATACGAAATAAAGATTGATATATTCGTGTACCTCGTTGAAAAAATCTCCAACCCATTTAGCCATAATGAGAACTATTATAACTGGTAAACCAAAAGATATTCCCTGAGTAGATTCTATGAGTATAGCAGTTAAACTTATCGTCATTCTAACTACTCCACCTAGTTGTGCAGCTGCGCCTAAGAAAGCATACTTCCCGGGAGCCAACACATCCTGTAAAAATACATAGTTCATATTAAATGCGATATTTCTATTATATATTTATATTCTATTCTTACACAATTAGGGAAAAGTTTTGCAAGACCCGATCCGATTAGTCTACCCCATGCTGAACCAATTAAAAGAGATGGAATGAAAAGTCCGCTAGACATGGACAGACCAAAAGTAAAAACAGCCAGGAAAAAGTAAAGCACAACGAAGATCGCTAACGTTATATCGTTGTGAGATCCTACAAACAAAACATTTATTACACATGAACTTTATCATCTTTTGCGTATATAGCGGTGTACCTTTAGGGTCGTGAAATAAAGATCGCACGCTACTTTCTGGCGTTTGGAACCATAAAGTTGCGACCACATTATATTCGCCTTCGTTGCAATACATTTGAATAGGAAATTTCGTGGGATCTTGTCCTATCGGTTTGCAGTCGTTTATTATGTAAATCATAACAAATCCCATTGTTGCGCTTAGTACACCAATCAAAAGAGCTTCTATTACTTTTGACCATCTTTTTTTAATGAACCTGAGACGGAAACAGCTGATCTTATAATTTACGTAGTTCCAACAAGCACCTAGAACTCCACCTATCACTCCCATTAACATGAACAGAGGAATTTCATAAATCTGATACGATATTGCTTCAAATTTTCCCAAGTTTAGTAAGCCTGGGTAGGAAAGGTCACCAGGTCGTCCATGATATGTACTAAGTACAATATTTAATGTAAACGTTGTAATCATACTGGCAAAAAATGTTCTCCATGTAAGGCTTTGATTAAAAAAGCTAGTCCCTTCTTCGATACTGAATAATACTCCACCTACATTATTTTTAAGCAATTGATTCTTTTTTGTCACGCATATTAAATTTCCTACTACTAACCAATTGGTGCTCCAAATGCGGCGGATACACCAGAAGCTGCTCCTCCCGATACAAAATCTCGTTTCTCGTGGTCCTCTCTAAAATATTTAAATATTTTCAAATCTTTGTTAAACGTTGTGCTTTTTCCTTGCGATATCCCTGCTGCTACTACGGCCCCGGCATGTATCATGGGTCCTTCCTACGAGTACCATTGTATCGATACGTCGAAATATTTTTCTATGTTATTTAGCAACAAATAACAGTAAGGGCGATAACAAACGATATTTACTTTTCCACCAGCTAGACCTCCTACTACAGTACAGATTACTCCAACTGCTTTTACCGCTAATGTTTTAATACGTACAACTCGAGGCATTTTAATTCCATTTAAATAACATTTTACTTGGGGTATACCGCTACCTGCAGCAACAGGTTCTACATAGGATACTAAAACAGCTCCTATTAAAATAGGTACTAAATTCAAAACTAACCATATGAAATATGGAAGCCATAAACAGTTTTGCGATACACATTGATCCATATCTATTGTGAATTGTAAGGAACAACAATTAAGTTTAAATATATTTTCCTACAGTTGTACAGCAATGTTAAAGGATACAAAATTTGAGAAAACCATATTTTACACTCGTTAATTGTTCTATAGATATATCTACAAAACATGCTATAAGAGCTGTGCAGATGCCTATCAATAAGAAAATGAACCATCTGGCCAAATTTTTTTTAACTACAAATTTATATCCCTTTTTTCTTTCTTCATCTTGTAAAAGATTATTCTCACAGGGATCATAATCTAAACTCTAAAAGAAAAAGAAAGAAGATTAAGATATATACATGACAAAAAATATCGAACGAAGAATTACTTACAAGATAAGATATAATATTCATACTTGTATGTAATATTTATTAGGAACAAGTATTAATAGAATTAAGTTGCAAAACAAAACTTTTAAAGTTTAGAACGATATACTTCTTATGTTCATAATAAAAGTAAAGGAACATTACCTCGTAATTGGCAGATAAGAAATTAGTGGCTCCAGGAGTTACTTCTTCTGTATTAAGCCTTCTAGGATTATTTGTTATTGTCTCTATAATGTTCTCTGAATTCTTGTCATCGTGACTGTAGACATTCTATAGAGTAGAAAGACGCAATTATTAAAAGCAAACAGGAGATGTTTGCAATTAATATTATAGAAACGAAAGAGGAAGAATATGAATGATAAAAAGTATCGATTAGGTTAAGCTACGCTGTCGAAACAATGGTTGTAAACTTAAATTAACGCTGTTCGCTTACCCGAAATCTAACATTGATGTTGTCGTTCGAATATGACGCAAAATTGTTTCTCGGTTTCAGTAACCGCTCTCTGTCAGTTTCGTCATTGACGTAACTGTCAACGCTGTCTTCGATGCTGGTGTTTATCAATACATTTGCGTGGCTCGAAGAAGCCGTCATTTTTTAGGTATCGTCACTCGAATCACATTTTATACGAGCACAAACGGAAGACAAAAAATTATCTGGAAATATCCATCAAGCCCAATTCTGACTTTTTTCAGTGTCACCACATGCTCTGCAAGTTACAAGACAAGGAGGAAAATATTTACATACTGGTAGCCACGTGACTAATACCGTGATTCATATTAATCAAACGGTTCTCAACCCATAACATTTGTCATTGTAGAGGCCATTCTAGTTTGGACCTTTGTAGTCTTACGTCGGCTGAGGCTCGACAACAAACTGCGACGAAATTTGAAAATGTGTACCGGAAAGAGTTAATCTAATCGAATAGATGCTAATTACTAATAGAATAGATGCTGGTATCTACTTATCGTCGAATGAAACCAGGACCGGTTTTAGCAATATTGGCGCCCCGGGCGGTTGCCCGACCGTGCCCCTCCCACCCAAACGCCGGCCCTGAATGAAACTTATTCGAAGCATCTGTATTTCGACCCTTCAAAGGGTACATCTTTTTCGAATAAAGTTTCCACAAATAATTATTTTGCAACGTGACAATGATTTTATTTATGAACGAAAATTTATTCAAGTAATCGAATAATCGCGTATCTGTGAATAAAAGCGACAGAGACGGAAGGTTGAGAACAAGTACGCGATTCCGGAAGTCTCATCGATAACAAAACGTGCAAGCGCTCTTTATCAAGAAAGTTTGCAGATAATACGTATCCAGATTGGCTTTATTAGGCCTGAATGGATCATTTATAATGGATACGATTACGAGATATAATTGCATTCGTAGCAGGAATGGTGTTCAGTTGCAGAAGGAATACTTGGGGATTTTCAGCTGCGTAAACGATTTTTTTCTTGTTCGAAATACGCAACCATACCGTTTTATTAGGAATTCGTAGAATAGGAAACGCAAGATAAAATTATTATTTCCTTGTACGTACGAGATGCTACAGTATTTCATAAATGTTTTCTTTCAATAGGGGGACACTGGTATATTATGTAATTGTTATTGTTTTAATCGCAGCATTCTCTACGTTCTTTTTTTTCTTAACTTTTTGTTTAACTGACAAATCGTATGGCATAACAAGGGTACATCTGAATGGCAGTCGACTCTGATTATGGTATCATTAATTACAACAATCTATGAGTCAGAAAATAATTATTTCATCAGTGATAATAATAACTGTGCTCTCTGCATTGTCGAGACTATGGTCAGCACTAACGATAAGACCTAAATCGACGATGAACGCTGACGAATTGACGATTGCCTCTTTCTTCGCATTTGCTATCTTCACTCAGTGCCGGTTTTAGCAATATCGGCGCCCCGGGCAAGATTATCTATTCTTATTCATTTCATTTCTTTGGTGTTTCAATACTTGTGAGCTCTAGCGTTTCGTACTTCCAAGTAAAGCGTGAAGAGCGTGTGAAGCGCTTCCAACCGCGAGCCCTCCTTGGCAGGAATGTCCAAGAGGTTGCAAACAACGTCGACGAGTTGCGGTAGCTCGCAGTCCAGTTGCGCGAAATCTAAGTCCATTTCGTTCAGTTTCTCTTCGACCTCAGCTGGCCACTGTTGGAGCAAAGCGTCGATATCGGGCATAGGTTTCGTCAGATGAACATCCGGTGGATGCTTGCTCCTGTGAAGCTGATTGATGTCGTCGATCCACTTGTCGATGGACTTTACGTTCTTCTCGGCGTCCTCGATTCGCTTCACTACCGTTTGCCTGGCTGCACCTGCACTTCTCATGTGACTGCGTAACTGGAGATGCAACACGGCTGGGTCCGATTGATTGGTGCACGGTTCGTCCAGAACGGTCAATCCTATTTTGTCCTCCACTCCATCCGGCCTGGGAATTTTTATGAAGGCGTCTATGTCGCCTACCGCAGGGATGTAGTCAGGGATAAACGGTATCAGCTTGTAGTTCAGCTCCACCTTCTGTGGCGTGTACCTGTTTGAAAAATAATAACGTTAACTATATAGAAATATGTTGGGAGTAATCGTTTTTATTTATTAAATAATTTCATTTATGTTTCGATCTGTACATACAGACTATAGTGAACTAAAATTCGGACCTCTGGTCAGAGAATCATACAGAACAATATTTAAGAAACAGAGGTCAAGATAAGTTTATTGGTGGTATTTTAATATTGTAAGGTTTGTTATAGATATAAACAATAATTATTTGCTATAATAAAAGGATTTTAAGAAAATATTAAGGTGTCGGTAAAAAAAAAGTAGTG